AAGATAAAAAGTCGCAATTACCTTTTTTTTTAAAATTTTTATTCAGTGGCGGAAACGGGCTTCCATAAAAGACAGACGTGTGGATGCCAGAAAATTATTATTTAAAAACAAAATAGATATTTTTTGAAAAAACTAACTGCCAGTAAAACTCTGGAACACATCTGAATAAATGCACATTATTTACCCATTTACTTTTACCTCGTACCTTTTTTTTAATGGATAACTTGGATAATTGATAAGTTGGACCAGATAACCAACAACTTTGAAGCATGCATGGGAATGTGTGTGTCCAAGCTTTTGACGAAGTTTTAATAGATTAATAATCATTCTTGAAGACATTATGTTGAACACAACCTAAGTGTCCAGATGGGCCATACTAATGCTTATGCCATAAAGAGCTTTAATTTTTTTCTTCTTCACAGTATACGCTCTTCCAATACCAGTCAAGTTAATAAACTAACCTTAGCAGCTAAAGATACCACAGTCGTGGATGAAAGCTGCACAGTGAGTCCTGAGACAGCAGAAGAGGTCACAACACCAATTGTGGAGGACAATGAAAGAGACACGGTTCAGTACAGCTACGCTTTCTTTCACTTCATGCTGTTCCTGGCGTCTCTTTACATCATGATGACTCTCACCAACTGGTACAGGTGTGTGTGTTTCCCACTGATCACTGAAGTACGATGTAGAATTCTTGAACAATTTGAATAGAAAAGTAGAAACACACACAACAGTAGACACTGTATATAATTATATGCTGAATTATATCATTGATTTTTATTGTCAAACCAGTCCAGATGCAGATTACAATGCCATGACGAGCAAGTGGCCGGCAGTGTGGGTGAAAATCTCATCCAGCTGGGTCTGTCTCTCATTATACACCTGGAGTCTGGTTGCTCCTATGATTCTCACCAACAGAGACTTCACCTAGACGCATTTCTGCAGAACACCTTTAAAAATCAAGGTTCTCTTCCTTCGCTACGGAAATATATTTTTAAGAGTGTAATGTCCTACAGCCTTGATGCTCTTATGAAAATACTGTTTGGTTTTTGTTTATATTTAATTTATTGTTTATTATAATGTTTATATTTTTGGACCATTTTGCCTAATAACCTCAGCCTGTGGTTAGGATGCTCTCTGTGCCATCAGCAAGAATGACAATGTATTTTATATTTCTTCTATGTCGGCTTATTGCTTTAGATAAAACTTTTTTAATTTGTACTTTTGATTTATGTAGAAAAAGTGTTTTATTTCTGTTGGTCAGGCAAAATGTACTGATCTCTCTATTTTTGTATCTTTACTGTATGTTTTGTTTTGTATAAAAATGCTATATTTTCATCATAAAATCAAGGCGTACAGTGACAAAAGTGCATTATTTCTGATACAACAAGAGGCAGGAATGCAACATCGAGGATGCAAATATATTTTGGATAATTATCAAATAAGTTGTATTTTTGTACAACCAGAACAAATCTTGTATTACATGTACAATGTATTAATGAATTAACATTAGCATATTTAACAGTGTATTTACAATGATCTTTTTTTTTTATTTGGAGATAAATTGAGAATTCATGAACATTATTATATTTGCATGTTTTTGTCATTGTTTTTATAACATCACGGCAGCTCTACCTTCATGTTTCTGTACAGACTACATCTCATCCCTCTCACCTAACGCTGCTGTGATGTTTCCTGATCTTCTAGCAGAAGGATGCAATGCCTGATGAAATTTCTTTGAATATTAATCCTCAATTCTGATGTGTGAGTTTATGTTTCCAGGCTGCATCACAAGGACTAGTCCCCCAACTGAACCTGGTTTCTGCAAAGGGTTTTTTCTCCATCTTTTTCTCCTTTCGCCGTACAATCTGTACAGGTGCATCTCAATAAATTAGAATGTCGTGGAAAAGTTCATTTATTTCAGTAATTCAACTCAAATTGTGAAACTCGTGTATTAAATAAATTCAATGCACACAGACTGAAGTAGTTTAAGTCTTTGGTTATTTTAATTGTGATGATTTTGGCTCACATTTAACAAAAACCCACCCATGCCATGCCGAATTGAGGCAGTAATTAAAGCGAAAGGAGCCCCTACCAAGTATTGAGTGCATGTACAGTAAATGAACATACTTTCCAGAAGGCTAAAAATGTTTTTTTTATTGGTCTTATTAAGTATTCTAATTTGTTGAGATAGTTAATTGGTGGGTTTTTGTTAAATGTGAGCCAAAATCATCACAATTAAAAGAACCAAAGACTTAAACTACTTCAGTCTGTGTGCATTGAATTTATTTAATACACGAGTTTCACAATTTGAGTTGAATTACTGAAATAAATGAACTTTTCCACGACATTCTAATTTATTAAGATGCACCTGTATGTTATAAGACACTACTGTGTATAAATAATGCTAATTTGACTTGACCATCAGTCATGAATGTCCAGAAACGGTATATTAATGATTTAAATGCACATTACAAAGGTGAAACGTGAATCTAGTTTTTTTATTGGTTTCATTCACAGGTCTTGGAAGCACACTGAACATGTTGATGTACGCGTTTACACATGTATTTTTAGTAGGGCTCAAAAATTCAGCTGCCATTTTTTGGCAATTATTATTGCACTATATTAATTATATGTAACCATAGATGAAGCAGTACAGTAAGAAAAAGAAAAAAAAAAAAGTTACTCTTTGACCAACATTCATTAAAAATCGATCAGGTTGGCCAGACATCAGTGGATTTCCACGTGTTTGAATCAGTCTTCAGTCGAGGGTGTGCATTTGTCTATTATGCACTCAGACTGAATTGGAGAATTTGAGTTTAAAGCATTCATTACGTTAATGTTCACTGCGTCGAACAACCTTACACATTCATGTACTTCAAAGAAGACTACACTTCCAACATCAAACTACAGCTGTAAGCTTGAAGCATATCCTGTGTGAAACCATTTCAATGCCAGAATATACAGTGTAATGCACTTCATCCCACCATAGACCTCTTCCGACCTCTCAATCGAACTTCATCCAGTTTTTTGATGACCGCGGAGGACTTTTTGGATGAAGCAGAGTAACTTTTCAGAAGTCTCTCAAATAAAGTCTCTGTTCTGGGATGAGTGCTGAGAAAAGCTTTCTCCAACACGTACAGGTCAACGCCTTTATCTTCTGGTAGAGCAGAAATATAACTCAACCCAAAGTCGATCAGAACCAGCTTCATGTTCTGGTCTTCAGCTCCACTGACCAGAAGCATGTTGGAGGTGGTGAGATCACCATGGATGACATCTTCATCATGCATCTGAGCCAGGATTTCACCAATCTTGTCTGCTAGAGTCTGGAGATGCTGTGGGTTTTGTTCTGACGCTTGAGCCGATGCAATGTGGTCTCTTACTGACACCGAGTGAATAATATCCTCCAAGAAAATGCAATGAGTGGTGTAGTCAACAAAATAAACAACGGGTGCGCTGATACCTGGGACAAAGGAAACAGAAGTCGATCATATAGTGTAGATGTTAATTACATTTACATTTGTTTGTTTAGCAGATTAATAGTCTTAATATTTATGTATGCACTTATTTGCACTCATCAAAAAAGTCATTTGTCACCCCGCAGGACCCTTTAAAATCAGCTAAGAGGCAAATAGGCGTTTAAAAATATTCATAATAGTTATTTCCCTTATTGAAGCCTTAAACGGACAGTTCACCTCAAAATAAAAATTCTGTCATCATTTACTCACCCTGACGTTGTTCCACACCTGTTCTGTCTTCAGATTAACACAAAAAGATATTTTGAAGGATGTTGGTAACCAAAAAGTTGATGTTAGCCACTGATTTCTACAGTATTTTTTTTCTCCATATTATGCAAGTCAATGGCTACCAGCAACTGCTTGGTTACTTGTACTCAAAATAACTTATTTTGCATTCAACAGCTAAAATTAATGCAGGTTTGGAACAACTTGAGGGTGAGTAAATAATGACTAAATTTTCATTTTTCATCCATCCCTTTAAGTAGTGCTGGGCGGTATACCGGTTCATACCGAGTGTTTATTTTTGTTATGATATGAATTTTTAAAATACCGAGGGAACAGCTGTATGTGTTACTAAGCGTGAAAGTTCCGAAACTGAAGCTGTAGAACTAATAGAATGTGATGACACAGAAGAACTCATCCACAATATCCACATTGACAGCCACAAATATCCACCGCCTGTTGCCATCAGCTCCCGCGTCTCACACACACAAGCGCGACTTTAGCACTAGATTTAGCAACTTTCAGACCCTTTTAGCGGCTTTTTTCCATAGAATATTCATACTGACAAACCTAGCAACTTTTTTTGGATAAACCTTAGCTATGGTTCAGTTGGAGGATTTCGCCAGTGCTGTCCCGCGAACGCGAGGTCTGACTTTCCCGGAGAAGTGTCACCTCTCTCGGCGTCTGTTCTGTGCAGTGAGCGGCAGAGAAGCAGCGCATTCAGTTGGCCGCACCGCAGCTGACTCGTCAATAAATGAGTACAAAACAGCGTTTCTAAATATGAGCGTAGTTCGTCTGTTGATATCACATGCACTTTTTTGTTTGTTGTTTTTTTTTGTTTGTTACTCAGACGCAGGCAGTGCGCTGCATGAGACAAAAAAGTAATATAGCCGCTCTTTAGTGTAGATGCATGTTGATTTTATCAGACGATGCCGCGATTATAAATGAGAGTGACTCCTGGTTAACATGTATTAAAAGGGGTCGTGTTTAGTCACTATTTAGTGTGGTATTTTTTGACAATATTCACTCATCATGACAGTAAAATAGGGCATTCTAAGTCAATATACAGCAGGATTTCCTCTCTCAATCAGTAGAAAATATGGTTAACACCCGGTCATGCATGAAAAAAAAAATACCGTCATGTACCGTGAAACCGGTATATTTTTGAAAAATACCGTGATATAAATTTTTGGTCATACCGCCCAGCACTACCTTTAAGTACATGGTCTTGTGACTTTTTTTTCCCCCCCTGATTTCCAAATACTTTCAGATGTTTTAACGCTTGTGATCAAGGTTAAGGTTAGGTTATTCTTTCTTGAGCTTATTGTTTAAATAATGTACCGTTTTTGCTGAATCAAATAAATATTTAACTTAATTCAAACAAGAATAAACATAAATACAAAATAAAGCTCTGTATTCTGCCCTACAATTTTAGAATTTCAAATAAATTCCAGTAGATTTGACATATTTACAAATATTCTGCTCTCTTAAGTTTTAGGCTACAGATGCTGAGAAAAAAAAACATGATAGAGACGGAGACAATATTGTTTTATGCCTGTCAAATAGGTTATTTCTTGACTGCGTATCGTACACAGTAGGTCCACTCAGTCTGCATTTACATTTAACGAGAACCCTTTTCTTGTTATTGTGAGTCTGCAGCATCGACAGCTGACTGAAATGAGAGATTTATGACAGCACTCGCTTGCAGCGTGCAGGCAGGACCCGCTGTTGTTGTGCACTGACCTGCTCTCCTGCATCGCAGTATGGATCGCACCTCCTGTGTGGTTCTGCGGCGCGTCAGTTTCTCGTCCACTTCAGGGTGGCGATATAATTTTGGGAATCTCTCTTTAATAATCACGGAACGACCCAAAAACGTACCTCGATAGACACGGGCTTCCGCGCCCTGTTTAATCATCTGTGCTTCCTTTAAATACGAGGGGACGCTCGCTTTGACTGAGTCCGAGTGGGCCATGTTCCACTCTAAGCCTGCGACACACCACGTGCTCTCTGCTTCCGGGGAAAAAATGCTACTTACGCTTCTCCTTTCATTCTAAACACAAGCGCATACCGCCACCTACCGTTCTAACTTTGTATTTGCATCATGCTAGAGCGCAGTCCTATTCATAACCATTTTACATTTATAATCTCTTACTGTGTTTCCCCCACATTTTAGTGTCGTTGGTTTCTTCCTCGTCCCATAATCTTTAAAAAAAAACTGACATACTGTAAACTATTACCCAAATTCCCATCAGATATCACTCCTCACTTTTCTCTCTTCCACTCATCTATTACAGACAAACACAAAATGCTCTAGTATTACTGACACAATGTTTTAGCAATTTAGAATTTTTGCAGTGTAGTGTCCGAATCTAATAGGCTATTTATGTGTGATATTGGCTTTTTATGTCGACTTTAAAGATTCTACTATCATCAGTCTTCATGACAGGCTGTCTTAACTTTGTATTTGCATCATGCCAGAGCGCAGTCCTATTCATAACCATTTTACATTTATAATCTCTTACTGTGTTTCCCCCACATTTTAGTGTCGTTGGTTTCTTCCTCGTCCCATAATCTTTAAAAAAAAACTGACATACTGTAAACTATTACCCAAATTCCCATCAGATATCACTCCTCACTTTTCTCTCTTCCACTCATCTATTACAGACAAACACAAAATGCTCTAGTATTACTATGACACAAATGTTTTAGCAATTTAGAATTTTTGCAGTGTAGTGTCCGAACCTAATAGGCTATTTATGTGTGATATTGGCTTTTTATGTCGACTTTAAAGATTCTACAATCATCAGTCTTCATGACAGGCTGTCTGATTTTCTGGTGAAACTATTTAAAACAAAGATTGAAAACAAAGACACTGCTATTTATTAGATTAATTATTAATTAGTTTGATATTTACTATATGATTTATTTTATATTTATATTAAAGGTGTTGGTAAGTAGGACGTGCAGTTACTGTGATAAGATTAATCAGAACTTCTTTATTCACGAAGGCTCAAGCAGTCGCTCAGTTTAAGGAAGGGTTCAGCCTCCTGCCACGTCGCGCGACTTCCTCGGAGGAACAGACCTCGGCACTGAAAGAGCTTCCACGAAACTTTGCCAGAACAAAAGGCAGACGAAAACAAAACTACGATGCGCCACAGTAGCGATTCCCTTTTACAGTGACTATGTGGACCGCGTATAATCTTAAACAATGTACATTTTGATTCAGTCCGTGTTCTATCGGGATAAAACATCTGGTCTGAGGGATGTTAATCGGTCTGAGGTGAGAAGGCGGGCTAGCGGTAGCTACGTGTAGTCGTCTAATGACTGTTTAAACGGTGGAAGCATTGCCAGCCTCTTTTTCCCCCACTTCTGTTTTAAAAATAACGGGTTGGTCTTGCAGATGTTATTCTGTAGCTTTGACAGTGGCTTCAGAACACTTTAAAGCAATACATAAATCCCGCAGGCTTCGAGTTTCGTAGTTTTGTGCGGACAGGGCTGCAGTCAGAGACATCAGCTGCAGGTTATTTATAGCTAATTAGAAACGCACTCAAGCGAGCCGCTCTAATGAAATCAATAGCGCCGACACGGGAGTTGTCATGGTGACAGCGTTCCGCATCAAGCGGAGAGTCTAGGACGACTAGACAACTAGAAGAACTTTAAAACTAGCAGTTCCCATTTGCTATGTTTATGTTTTGGAAATAGATGATATTCCCGGACGAGACCGACTTGTTGCGTATTTGATGAGCCAGCATCTGTTAAAAAAAAATGGGTAAGTGTCAGACCTGTTCGATGCTTATTTGTGTTTTAGCATGTCATTTTTAAGAAAAATAAAAACAACGAAGTATTATAATTGATTATGGTTATCTCAATAGCAAACAAATACGACAGATTTTAATATCAGTTATCTGTTTAGAAATATGTATACCCTGCATGATGATATTGCTGTACTTCATCTAGAACAACATGTATAATTATTATAAAATGCAGGTCATAGTTTATGACCGTATGTATGTTTCCTATTGTAATTTAAGATCACCTTCTGAAATATGACTTTTTCTACTTTTAAACCATTTGTATATAAACATAATTTTAAGTTGAGGAGTGTTCTGAAAAGCTGGCCTATCGATCAGGATGATCTACCAACACTATATTTGGAGTAATGTGGGGCTGATGATACACGGGGCAACTTTTTGGGCAATGTTGCCGTCAACGGGCAACCAGGTGAGACACAGGGCCCACGACCGATCTAAAGTATCCAGATAGAAATTTGTTACCCATTTTCATTGGGAAAGTGCTCAAGCAACATTGCTCAAAAAAAGTTGCCCGGCAAAATTGCTCAAAAAGTTGCTCCGTTTATCATCAGCCTTAGGGTTGTAGGTTAGTCCAGTCACGTAAAAATATGCTACCCATGGTGGCAGCACATCCCAGTGCCTGAGGATGGTAGTACATGTTGTAATTTTATACATGACTTTTTTAAACTGCTGGTTAAAAGACAACCTGAGCAGGTAAGTCAGATTCTCAGAACACCAAGAAAAGTCCTGGTTCACCCTACACTCTTAATTCCAAAGGGATGCAATAGAAGAACCATTTGGGTTCCACAAAGAACCTTTCTGTTAACAGTTCTTAAAAGAACCATTTTTAGTGTGAATAATATTTCAATAATCTGAAGAAGCGTTTGTGCAGTGGAAGGTTCCATGGATGTTAAAGATTCTTCATGGAATCATCAATGCTAATAAGGAACCTTTATTTTAAAGAGTGTATGAGCAGGCCAACCCAGCTGCAAAGTTATCTTCTGTGTTATTTGTGTGCTACTTTCTCTTTTCTAGGTTGGTCTGTCCTGGTGCTCACTATCATTGCGTCCACTCTCGGTGGCCTAGTGTTCGGCTATGAGCTTGGAATAATATCCGGCGCTCTGCCGCAGCTTCAAGCTCAGTTCTATCTGGGTTGTGTCCAGCAGGAAGCCGTGGTTAGCGCTCTTCTGATCGGATCATTGTCAGCATCTGTGATTGGTGGCTGGCTGATTGATCGTCATGGCAGGAGGACATCCATTTTACTGAGTAACCTCCTCATTTTAGGAGGCACCATCATCCTAACTACAAGCATATCTTTTTTGGCACTGGTGGTTGGGAGGGCCATCATTGGCTTTGCAATGAGCATTTCTTCCATGAGCTGCTGCATCTTTGTCTCTGAGATGGTTGCTCCCGAACGCAGAGGGTTGATGGTTACCCTGTACGAAGTTGGAATTACAGTTGGGATCTTGTTGGCCTATGCGGCCAACTACGTTTTATCTGGTGTCCAAGCAGGATGGAGGTACATGTTTGGACTTGCTATTATACCATCTGTCATGCAGTTGGTGTCCATTGGGTTTTTACCTCAGACAACCGGTACCTCTGAAGGCTTTGTAACAGAGGACGATAGCCAGCAATCTGATAGATTAGCAGGGGAAATGTCGAATCAGCGCCCAACAGAACACGTTAAATATAGTGTGTTTGACCTTTTCAAAACCAAAGACAACATGTGCAGAAGAACCGCCATTGGTCTTGGGCTGGTGCTCAGTCAACAATTCACAGGTCAGCCTAATGTCCTCTTCTACGCTTCCACCATCCTTTTCTCTGTGGGATTTCAGAGCAACGCATCTGCAGTTCTTGCGTCAGTGGGTCTGGGTATAGTCAAAGTCATTGCTACTCTGTTGGCAATGATATGTTCAGACAAGGTTGGTCGAAGATCACTCCTGATTGGTGGATGCACAGTGCTGGCTATAGGATTGATACTTACTGGTTTCTTGTGCAGACAGTCAGTGATTGATACAACAAAACAATGCACTTCATTAGAACCTCATTCAAATTTGACCTCACCGGCTGAAAATCAAGAAAACATGGGCAACAACTTGGTCAATCAAAGCACTCCATCTACTGGACGTGAAACACATGATTCAAATATTTCTTCACACTCAGAGGACATGTATAAGTGGATTATTTTTATCTGCATGATGACAGTTGTGAGTGCCTTCTCAGTCAGCTTTGGACCAAGTAAGTTTTCTTGGAGTGGTACCTACATTTACTGTAGTTAAAGATGCAGTGCCACTGGCAGCACCAAACAGAACTGTCTATCAGTTTGAGTATACAATTAACATTATCTCCAGTGTGTTTTGCTAAACATTTGTCAAAACAGCGATGTCCAAATAGCTGCTTGGTGCGTCTATTGGCACAGAAATTCCATCATCTACCAATATTTCATGCCATACAACAGCTAGTACTTTAATTGCACGAAACTGCATATTTGGTTCACAGTGACATGGCTTGTGCTAAGTGAGATATTTCCAAAGGAAGTCAGGAGAAGAGCCTATTCATTCATCAACTGCTTCAATGTGGGGGCCAACCTCATAGTTACCTTTTCTTTCTTGAGTATAACAGGTATGCACAACGACCACGGCCACACACAAAGTCAGTCGTCATCATATGAAAAGTATTTGCAAATAATTTTCATCATATTTCAACGACTTTCATTCTTCTCAGATGTGATAGGCCTATCGGGAATATTCTGTGTGTATGGAGTTATCGGAATGGCAGCAGTTGTGTTCATCTACCTTGTACTACCAGAAACCAAAGGAAAATCTCTTCATAAAATTGACAGAGAACTCTCTCAGACACGGTAAGAGAACATATTCGCTACAATACCTTGTTAAATTATATAATATTTCACTATATAATAGAATAATAGAATGAACTAGAATAGAGCACCCCGACCTGTGCTTGATGCAATTCAGCAATATCTGACAACATCCAGTCAATGCATTACTCAAAATCTGTTCTTTCCTTTAGATTTTTTCACAGAGAGGAATTCTGCAATATTTTCCAAAGAAGACATTTCTCTCCAGGTTATCAGAGAGTTCACTTGACAAGCACAACAGCATGACATGAGGCAGAAAGTTATGAAATCCCTCTGCTGACCATCAATACGGATCATTCTGGATAATATTGTTCAATGTTGAAATGATAATGGATATCTGTTTTTGTTTGATCTTTTGTAGTAACTCTTGTACTATGATTCACATGCATGTGATATTTACTAGTGATAAATCATTATGAAATCATGATATACTTTTGTAATTATAATTTT